GTCATGGCTTAATCTAGCTTGTGTGTATAACTGATACTTAAGGCTTTATCGCACTCAATGAATTCTAGTACGGTTGGGAATACTGAAGAGACCAGACGGAGTTGAAACTACGCTACCACTGAATAAGGATGCCACTATGAGATATCAGGTACAAGTGAAGCTTTTCTCTAATTGAAGCATCTCATACATGTAACAGAAGGCATTCCTCAAATCAAAGACAGACTACGAAGCGAAAATGAGGCTTACTGATTAAACCAATACAAACCATCAATGCGTTATATATTTTTGATTAATCGATTATACTTTAATACATATGAAGGGTTCGAAATTAACCAAAAAAAACTTAATAATGTTCTTCAACAATTATTTTGATATTTTTTACTAGTTAATAGTAATATTCAGCAAATAATGCATATAAATAAAAACAAAATTGTAGTACCCTCGAGAAAGTTCTTAATATTTTAATATAAAGAGTCTAAAGGGCATAAGAATGAGTTAAAGTTATCATTTTATCTTAGTTTCAAGATAAGACTTAGTTATTCATTTATATAAGTAGAAAAAATCAACTATTCCTACATAAAAAAACAAAAAAACCTTAACACTATCTTAGAAATTGTGCTGCTGACAAGATAGCTATTAATGCGAAGTATAGACATTTTTCTTCGATAGTGTTTTATGGGAATTTTTTAGCTCAGCGCTTGCTACCTATATGATTATTATAATAAGCATATTTTATCTGATAACAGACCTTAGATAAGCTGATTAGCTGGGTCAACATTTTCGCATTACATAACTTTCATTCTAGAGGTATTCTAATACTCAAATCACTTCAGTATTTAAATAAGGCCTGGATTGTGTAAAGAAGACATCGGCTCTTTGCTCAATGGCCCCGATGAATCCGTGCTATGCTTTCGCCCGTCATGTGGCGAACATCGTTAGAGCCAGAAAACGTCATGTGTGAAATGTTCAAAAAAACTCTAAACCATTTAATATAAGATGTATTCGCCCTATTTTGTCTAAAGTGATGAAGGACTGGTAGTTGAAGTTTTCCCACAATATTATGAATAGGCCTTACATTTCCATTGGATTTCTCATAGCCCTGCCCTGCAAAGGTTCTTCTGATCCAGGCTGGAGTGTACTGCAGTTTCGACCTCGCCTGGACTGGTCTCATCAGCATCCAATGTGGGAGTCGAACCAATACAATGCAGTGTATAATCTCGACACTTCAACTACCACGCCACACCGCAACAAGTGTCATTGGGTCACATTGTAGATGTTCATTTCGAGGAAAACCAGGCATTTTCTTCATATATCATTTTATGTTTAGGATTGTCAATGAAGCAAAGGTGTTATTGCAATAGCAATAGGCTATATTATTTGGCTTTTGTTTATATGTAAGTTATCGTGACTACAAGTTGATCATTTATTTGCCTTGTATTTCAAGGGCACTCGTGGCAGAATTTCATAGTTGATAACGTGTCGAAATTATACGCTGCATTACAACTACCTGGGTCTGAGTCCCGCTGAGGGTGTTGATGCAGAAGAAGCGTGGCACCTCTTATCTAAGGGGTTTGTCTGTATATCCGCACATTTTTAGAGCTTTGTCTACTCTTAATCTGCCTGAAAATTGTCAACGAAATCCAAAAAGTTGGAACATGTTAAGCGCGTGTCAATCACTGTTTAAGTGAGCATAACCGATATTAAGAATGGGTAGGATGCTAAACTATCCTAGCAATAGCTTTTTGAGAAAATTCAGCTTCAGTTCTTCATCATCCTATGCGACCAAGAGTGAATACATCTAATTTTTATCAGAATTATTGGCAATAATATCGTCAATGTGACGGTATTTATTCAACAAAATGTGTTATCATGTAAAATAATGCACTACGAAGTCGAACACAATGGCTCACCACGTCGGCGTGTCCCGTTCATGTCGATCGGGCAAACGGGTCGAACGCGAATAAGACAGACAGTGATGATGCTGACGAGCAGAGTGAGCAGGAAGCCCATCAACACGAGGAAGAGGACTTTCTCGACGAAGGCACTGCCGGAACTCGTCGGCGAACCAGAAAGCACATGCACACGGCTCACCGTCTGTACGTCGTGCATCACCAAGGCGTCCGAGTTGGGCATCAGCCCGCGAGAGTATGGCAACTGAAACCAGATGGGGAGGGAGGGAAAAAAGGAAGGTAAGGGATTCAAGAGGTTGCAGGCCAGCTTCCAGACATGAATAGAAGAGACAGGCAGATACAGAGAGACACACACAGAGAGAGACAGAGTTACGACTTACCATGTATAACTAATTCTGGATCACTGTTTAATTGAAGGTATGAAGTCCAAAAGGGTATAGCCCATATTATGCTTGTAGTCTGATATTGCTGGATAAAAGTGATATGGCCTCGTTTTCGTAGCTTACTTGTCTTGTCAAGGCGAAGTTGATGCAAATGTTCTGTAAGTGAAACGCCTGAAAGTTTGGCAAGTCACTGATTTGCTTTTGGAAATGATCAAAACTACTTTGTCAGAGGACCCGATCTTGGAAACACTCTTCGAGTTCACCATGACGCAATGACAGAGATGTGAAAATGACAATATCTAGTGGCAATTGTACAAAAAAACCATATAGCTACTTCGGTCATTTGGATGAATATGTGGTAGCAACTTTCCCATGTTGCCATGCTGGCCTCGAGGAGTCCCATTTGTCCGGAATCTTCTGCTCCTGTGGACTTTCTAGACTTCCAAGCGTACATTCCCGACGTTTGAAAGTAATATGACCGGACAAGGTGAGTTCATCGAGGTAATCATATCAACATGGCCAAGTTAATACCACAGCTTCACTGGCTAGAGTGCCTCCATAGCTTGTCATTTTTACAACTCGGTCCCGACGTTATTGTGGCCTAAAAGAACATACTTAGGATACTGTCCCCTGATATAGTAGTTTTTATCATTTCCAACAGATCGTTTACCTTCAGGATAGGAGGAAGGAGAGAAAAAATTTCTTTTTCTCATCACTTTACTTAGTCGTAGGCCGTCAGCTACAATACCTAAGAAGAGCCTGAGAATGTGGGAAAAGTCAACAATCAGTCCTTTATTCCATTATGCGACCATAAAAATATTCAAGCTCTACCGGAACTTTTGAAACCTACTCATAACTGAATAGTATTTATTAGAGTAAAAATCTTTAAATTTTGTAAGAAGACTACTATGATTCGCCATTTTTGTATATGATGGTATAAAATGGAAGTGGGGATTTCGGCCAATGTGCTGTAACAATCTTGAAAAAAATCGCTATCTACAAACCTTCGTGACCTTGTACGCCGCAGGGTGATTGGAACCCACAGGTAAAAGTTCTAGATAGCCTCCAACCTTACTTCATAGCAACATAAATTTCATTGATGCAAGAGTATTTTTCATTTCGTAAGGGATTTGTATATTGGTCCCACGGAAAGCTATATGAGGAATGCTATGGAGTTTGTGACCGTTGATTTATGCGAATCACTCCTCTATCACCGAACAACGACTCTGCTGAATCCCTGTTGAGCTTTCGTCTGTCTCGCAATGACAAAGTATGAAAACACACTTTACACAAATTCATCAAATCAGGCAGACGAAGGTTTGGCACGGATTCATCTGAGTCGTGGGACAGTAGCCCGAGGACCTTTTTGCGCAAGCCTACGGTCACAACTTTAAGGCAATCCTTTTTTGGCCAATTTACGAAATAAAAGTTATCACAGCAACAGATGCTTCAAAACACAATTTCTTCTTACATATGGGGCGTTCAATTATGTTATGGTACCATTAATTTCATTTGAAAATTTTATGATCTGGCCTAACTGGAACCTTAAAGATGGAGTCTTCGGCGCCCTGGCCTCCGATAAAAATGGGAATGCCGTTTGGTGTTTCAACTATCGATAAATAAAATAGTAGGAGAGGCTTTACGGCAAACTTGACAGTGGAAGAGGACACTTTTGTGCATGTATACGAATTGTTTTTAAACACGAAGTAAAATAATTTAAAAGTGAATCCGATGCCAACTTTGATTAATAAGGGAATAATGTACCGAGGACTTTTATGCGCAAATCAACAGTCACAAAATCAAAGCGACCGTCCTCCGGATTTCAGTTAATTCACTTTTATCCACCAAATCCTTCTGCTTTTTCAAGGGAACTGAAGCGTACAGCAGCCCAGCATCTCTCCATATCCACAAGCTTTATTTGGTTTGTACAGCCTCTGCCGCCTGAGGAAGAGGAGATAGCCGACTTCCGGGAAATAAAACCCGGACAATAGAGGAAAATAGGACTGAAACATGAATAGCTCAACCGGCTTTTTTCTGCCAACTTCGAGAATGGGACAAGTAAAAGAAATATTCAATAAGTCTGGGCATACAGGTTGTGTCGTTGATGCCATGTGACAGGTTAACGGGCTGCATACAGGGCTAAAGGCTGGCTAAACATGGCAACAGGGTGTGTATTGCACGCCGAGA